CAGAAAGAAAACACCCTGAACAAGCGTAACAAGTTACGCCAGCTGAATGCCTTCTTGGATAAGGACAATGTTCTCAGAGTGGGAGGACGATTATCTCGATCAGCCTTACACCATGACGTAAAACATCCGGCAATACTTCCGAAGAAATCTCATGTGTCAGCCCTTCTAGTCAAACACTATCACGAGCGTGTACATCACCAAGGAAGAGGCATGACCATGAACGAGCTGCGCGCAAATGGAATATGGATTCTTGGTTGCGGAAGTGCTGTCTCCTCACACATTTATAAATGCGTAACTTGCAGGAGATACAGAAGAGCCACAGAAGTCCAAAAAATGGCAGATCTCCCGGAAGAGAGAACAGAAATGTCCCCTCCTTTTACCTATTGCGGACTCGATTGCTTTGGCCCCTTCATCGTAAAGGAAGGAAGGAAAGAGTTGAAACGCTATGGATTGTTGTTTACTTGCTTATGCTCCAGAGCAGTACATATAGAAACACTAGACGACTTAACAACAGACGCTTTCATGAACGCGCTTCGAACATTTGTAGCTATTAGAGGACCTGTGCGTCAATTGAGATGCGATCAGGGAACAAATTTCATGGGTGCCAGGAGACTGTTTTCTGAATTGCTTAAAGGAATTGACCAAGAACGTCAACGAGCATTCGGTTGCGAATTTGTAACGAACGTCCCATCAGCAAGTCATATGGGTGGAGTTTGGGAGCGTCAAATTCGAACTATCCGAAGCATCTTAACCGTTATGCTCGACAAATCCGCAAGCAGACTTGACACCACATCGCTGAGAACGTTTCTCTACGAAACAATGGCTATAATCAACAGCAGACCGTTAAGTGTTGAACATCTTCATGATTCCAATGGACCAGAACCTCTCACACCCAACCATATTCTAACGATGAAATCATCAGTTATTCTGCCCCCTCCCGGGCAGTTTTGCAAAGAAGATCTCTATTTGCGCAAACGTTGGAGAAGAGTGCAGTTCTTAGCTGATGAATTCTGGCAAAGATGGAAGCGGGAATACTTGCTAAACCTTCAACAACGACAGAAATGGCAAAGAACAACACGGAATTCACAAGTGGATGACATTGTGATTCTACAAGATGACAGCTCTCCAAGAAACGAATGGAAGCTTGCCAGGGTCGTAGAAGTTCACCCTAGTGCAGACAGTATGGTGCGGAAGTTGAAGCTACTAGTCGGAGACACTACTGATAAAGGACAGCCACTAACTAAAAGAATCTACCTCGAAAGGCCCATTCACAAAGTAGTTACCTTACTTGAATCTAACTGAGTCACATACACAAGATTACATTCATTCAGTCTTACAACACCTTTAATTGACCTTCCACGTATAGAAATCCTACATTTCAAGTTAATTAGGGATTTGGTGGGAGTGTAAGTGTTGTTGCATAAATACTTGTGTTTTCATGATGCACAGTTCATAATTGCTGTTATAATTTCATGTAACAAATATAACTTAATTTGGTGTAAAGATAAAATGTAATACATGTTTAAGAACTAAAGGGTAGAATAAGCTGCTAAATGATATGTGGTTAACAGTGTATCTATCTCATTCTGTATATTTACGTTTGTCCCGGAACTAATGTTTTCTGTCTGTGTTACCGCTACAACGGTTTAAGTCGACACTCACTGCCTTGAATTCCGGCGGAGCAGATAGCTCCGATGCTTGTTAAACTGCATTAAAGTTAAAAATGTGGTTTGAAGTTAATGCAGACGACCAAATGGACATTCAAGAGACTTCAAAGAACTTAGTAACCTCTTTTCACGACAAGCGGCCAACGAGGTATTATTATATTGTCTTTATTGATCTGGATGTTGTTTGTATTTTCTCTGCTAAGCTATAATGTATTGATTTATTTGTACTGTGTTCACTTACAATGTAGTTCTCACGGCGTATAAGGCATATACGACGTTCAAGGCGTACATGGTGTGAAGCTGGATGTACCAAAGAGACCCGATGTGCCCACAGCAATAAACGCCCGTTGCAAAGAACTGACCTGTGTCTGTGTTGTCGCGAAGAGAGCTACAGATCTGTTGATCTTAACTGTGGACTGTTCATTCATTGTAGACATTGACAGTTCACAAATACTGTACAGTATGTAGCCTAAGGAACAATCCTTGTCTTATAGCAGACTAAGACCATTGAACTGGTTACCTTAGCCATCATCGCAACAATTGCCTCCCCTGAGAAATTTGGCAGGAGTCGCCAGTGTCCCAAAGCCAAAACTCTGCGTACGGTTTTGCATGTCGACACTTCTCTTTGCCAAACACCCCAGCATCTGTATTCACATCACAACTGGGATTCTCTCATTGGAAAAAGGCAATGTACAAAGATGGTGGATTTAAAGTACATGAAAAGTCAGAGGGTCATGTCAATGCCATGTTTGCATGGGGTGAGCACAAGTAGGCAATACTAACAGATTCTTCCATACGTGATGCCCTTAATGAAGCATAAAACAAGAAAGTTCAAGAGAATAGAAAATATTAAAACAGTGGCTGAAGTACTTCTTTTGACGGTAACACAAAACATTGGACAACGAGGTCACCGTGAGACAGATAGAGGCAGATAACAGAGGAAACGTTTTAGAAATTTTGGAAATGATTGCAAAGCATGACCCAGTGGTACAGGAAAAAATGAAGGGAAAGCAGAATGCCAAGTACACAAGCAGAGGTAAAAAAAAACCAAAAAAAAACCCTAGAATGCTTGGCAAATATGGTCCGTGAGGAGATAATTCAGGAAGTGAAGGAAAGTGAAGTGTTCTGTGATTGCTGATGAAACCAAAGACCTGAAAAAGAAGGAGCAGCTCTCACTGGTACTTAGGTACTACTACTACTACTACAATGGGGCAGTGCACGAAAATTTTCTTGACTTTCAACAAGCCACACGATTAGATGCAGAAGGACTCAAGGACAAAATCATCCACTGTTTGGAAAGATATGGACTCGAGTACGATCCAATCTTGTTGGACAAGGTTATGACAGAGCATCAGTAATGAGTGGGAAACACTCTGGAGTGGCAGCCAGAATAAAGACTGACGCAAAACATGCAGTTTATGTACACTGTAACGCACATTGCCTGAACTTGGTACTCACTGATACCGTGAAGGCAGTCCCAGAGGCTGATTGCTTTTTTGCAGAAGCTTTATGTGTATATGTCTGGGTCATATGTTCACCAGAAGTGGCTGGATGTGCAAAAGGAAATGTATGAAGGTCAGCCGAGGGAGTTGCAGAAGCTCAGTGACACAAGATGGGCATGTAGATACTTGGCCTGCAGGAATCTAATGGACCGATTACCTGCTGTACTTTGTGTTCTGCATGACATTGCTACAGAAAGTAGTAGGGAAAGATCTGTAGATGCTCGAGGTTTGCTGACTCAGGTAGACCTAAGCTTTGTCAGTCTTCTTGCAACCATTTGAAGGCTCCTTGGGGATGCAAAGGTGCTGCCTGACACCCTCCAATCTCCTTCAGTTGACCTTGCCATGGCAGTGGATTTAGTAAGTGCACTCAAATACTCATTTCAGGAGTACAGAAGTGAAACATTTGTTGACAATCTGTGGAAAAGTATTGTAGACACCGCCACAAAGTGCAAGATAGTCATTGAAAATGCAGAGAAAAAGAGGTCTCAAAAAATTTATTCCAGACTTGGTGGGTCTGTCATAACCTCTACATTGGGTCAGCGCAAATGTGACGATGGTGACAAGGATTCCTTTAGGAGGACAATCTTCTACCCCATTGTGGACACCATACTTGGAGAGTTAGACAGGCGCTACTCCAAAGACAATTGTGAAATAATGAAAGGAATACAAGCTTTAGACCCCAAAAGCACATGTTTCCTTCAAGAGGAAGTAGTCTTTCACCTGGGAGAAATTTATGAAAGTGACTCTGAAGATCTCTGTCATGAACTCCACCAGACAAGGAGGCTTTTGCAAAGGACAGCAAAAGTGAAATGCCGAACTTGTCCGGTATTGTTGAACTTGCAGTGTTCCTTGAACCTCATAAGGATGTTTCTCATGAGCTTTTTCGTCTGTGCAAGATAGCCATAGCCCTCCCAGTAAGCAGTGCAGCATGTGAGCGCAGCTTCTCAGCTCTTAAACTCATCAAGACTCATTGGCGCACAACAATGACAGACTGAGCAACCTGGGTGTTCTCAGCATTGAGTTTAGAAGAGCAAAGTCACTTGACATGGACAAGTTTATTAAATTTTTTGCTACCAATCACCAAAACAGGAGAATTCATCTGATGTAAGATGGATGAACACAGAATTTGTCTTATGGTCTTGTTTTTTGTAGTTAAAGGGCTTGTTTGGTTTGTTGTTTATGTACAATTATAATAAGTTATATTTGGTCTGGTCTAAGTCTTAACTGTTTGATTTAAATAAACTTAATGTATGCTGAATCAAAGCAAACGTTTCAATTTATACCTTCATCAGGGCCTTGGACATGAATACTGTTTGGGTTGAAAACAGCATTTTGCACATTTTCATACATCACAAGGCATCCTATAGAATGACATTATTCAGTCATCAGGCCATCATCTGTGTTACCCGTATTGTTACCTATGTTTGCTTACCCTGCTCTGACATGTTAAAATAATCAGAGATACTTGAGGACTGTGATAGGTGGAAATGGAATAAAAAAAGACTTTTTTAAAAATATATATTTTTTAACAGCATAGACACCTTTATTTGACAGTTACAAGACAGGAAATCATGCGAGAGAGGGGATGTGACGTGCAGCAAAGGACCGGGGTCCAGGATTTGAACCGCGTTCGGCTGCGTCCGTATATGCATTAAACTTCGCTATGCCATGGCCACCCCGCACTAGCTCTGTGTCCCATCTTGTCCACCCCAGTAAAAATGTCCTGGATACGCCACTGCCAGCCGGACAACGGAGCCCTACATTAGTCTGACCGTCCACTTTATAATGAGCAAAAACTGAAAAGTTGCTGTTTGCAAAAAGACATTATTACCTGTTTGTGAGGTCCTCTCAGAATGTGTGTGCGTGCGCCTTCACAAGCTGTCCTCATCGCCTCCATAGAGGGAGTCCCCAACAGGTCAGTGATTAAATCCAACTAAAAAAAACATACCAGACAGACACACATCACAGCCGGTGTCATAAACACTAACCATACCGCAAACTCATTTGGCAGTTTCTGTTTTCTATTTGCAGTTTGATTGCCCTTTATACAGTTTATTCACAGTGAATTTGTATGAATGTGTCAATTTCTGGCCCCTTACCATCTGCCATTAGTGTATGAATGTGTGTGAATGAGGTGAATGTGATGTACTGTAAAAGTGCTTTGAGTGGTCGGAATATTGTTTATTTCTGTGATTGTAATTTTGTAACATAGTAACACATTTGCACCTTTTTGTACAATATATTCATGTATTGCATGCAATTTAGAAGATTGTAAGTGACACCATGTACTTTCACTAATGGGTTGCACCCATATTTGTACTTTGCACCTCCTTTATCTCTTATACTTTTATTTAATTCTACGATAAATAATAATAAAGGTTAATTTCTTACTAAAATAGATATAAAACTGGAAATGAAAAATGAAGGCACGGTCCTCTCTGCAGACAAGTTTTTTTTTTTTTTTTAAATAGGCCCCTAGCCACGATTAGAACATTTTGGTATTTTATTTTAATGTGCATACAGTATATTTATGCATGTATGCATTTAATTCATTATTTATATCCAGCATCTTGGCCATAAAAAGTCCCTTGAGGATGACGAAGTTCTTTATTGTCTCATCTCATCTTATTTTAATAATAATAATAATACATTTTATTTCTATAGCACTTTTCAGGACACTCAAAGATAAAAACATATGGTGCGGAAATACATAAGAGCAAAGGGGCGACCATATAAATAACAAAATAACAAACAGCAGCAGGTGTATATAACATTATTTGATGTTAAAAGCTAGTCTAAAAAGGTGTGTTTTCATAAATGATTTAAAAGAGTCCATGTTGCTGCAATCTTGGATGTGTATGGATAAGGAGGTCCATAGGGATGGGACTGCGATGGTGAAATCTCTGTCGCCCGCGGTATGGTGCTTGGTCCTGATTTGTGGTGAGAGGAGGTCAGAGGAGCGGAGGTTAAGGGAGGGATTGTGGTGGTGGAGCAGGTCTGTGAGGTAGGAAGGGGCCTTGTTATGGAGGGCTTTATGTGTGAGGAGGAGAATTTTATACTGAATGCGTTGGGGAACAGGGAGCCAATGAAGATTCTGGAGGACAGGGGTGGTCACAGGTGCGTGTGTGGGTGAGGAGGTGGGAAGCAGAGTTTTGGAAATATTGAAGTTTATTTAGGGCTTTGGCAGGTGAACCATAGAGGATGCTATTGCAATAGTCAATTCTGGATGTAATGAATGAGTGGATCAGGTCAAGGTCAGTGATGGGCAGAGACAGGCAATGTTTTGAGGTGAAGAAAGGCAGTCCTGGGGACATGATTGATGTGGTGTTCAAAAGAGAGGCTGCTGTCAAAGAATGGTTACCTGCTGAATGGGACTTTGGGCTTGGAAGAGTATGCGTCTCCCCAGCAGCTCAGCAAAGATGCAGCCCACAGACCAGATATCAATGGAGTTGGAATAGTGGCGGCTCCCCATGAGAATCTCAGGAGCGCGGTAGTACTGTGTCACCACTTCCTGAGTCATGTGCCGTGACTCGTCTGACTCCTCCACTCGGGCCAGGCCAAAATCACAGATCTGGAAGACAGCCATTCAGATGTTAATACACTCTTGGAATATAATTTCCGCTGGCAGCTTTATTCTAACAACTAATACTAGTAACTAGTATGAACGCTTGTTTCTCCTACTCAGAATCAGAATCGGGTTTATTGCCAGGTACATTTTCACATACGAGGAATTTGCCTTGGTATGAATTGGTGCTTACAGTACACATAACATAAATAGTAATATAAATATATTTATTAAAAAAAAGGAGATCAGAAAAAATATATATATAAAAGTATACAAAAAATATAAAAAGATACAATAATACTATAATACAATGCTGACAAGTATGTGCAAAAGTTGGCAACATGAGCATAAAGCACAGTTGAGTGTTATTGTAAAGTGTGGGGTCAGGAGGGTGTATGAGTGTGTGTGAGTTTGGGGAGGGGGGCATGAGAGTCACTGAAAGTGGGGACCTGGGCCTTGTTGAGGAAGCCCACTGCCATCGGAAAGAAACTGTTCTTGTGGCGAGAGGTTTTGATCCTGATTGACCGCAGCCTCCTGCCAGAGGGGAGAGTCTGAAACAGTTTGTGTCCAGGGTGGGAGGGGTCAGCTGCAATCTTTCCTGCACGCCTCAGAGTCCTGGAGGCGTACAGGTCCTGAAGAGAAGGAAGATTGTAGCCAATCACCTTATCTGCAGAGCGAATGATACGCTGCAGCCTGCCCTTGTCCCTGGCAGTGGCAGCAGCGTACCAGATGGTGATGGAGGAGGTGAGGATGGACTCAATTGAGTCACACAGGATGATGGGGGAGGGTGGGGATGGGCTCTTTCTGAAGTCTGCGACCATCTCCCCTGTCTTCAGAGCATTGAGCTCCAGACTGTTCTGGCTGCACCAGGTCACCAGATGGTCAATCTCCCACCTGGGGGCAGAATCATCCCCACCAGAAATGAGCACAGTGAGGGTGGGGTCATCCGCAAACTTCAGGAGCTTGACAGACTGGTGACTGGAGGTGCAGCTGTTGGTGTACAGGGAGAATAGCAGAGGGGAAAGAACGCAGCCCTGAGGGGAATGTCTCCAGTGAGGTGTTAAAAATGTCTGAACACCGGAGACAGCTGATTGGCGCAGTGGTTCAGGGTGGATGTGGAGACAGAATCCGGTCCAGCTGCTTTGCGAGGTTTCTGCCTCCTGAACAGTCTGTTGACATCCTTCTCTAGGATGGTAAGAGAGGGGGAGGAGGTGGGGGATGAGATGGTGGACTGTGGCCGATCAGTGGTGTGACGGGGGATGGTGTCAGGTCTGTCCCATTGTCTTTCAAAGCGACAGTAAAACTGGTTCAACTCGTTGGCAAGGTGTGAGTCGTTCATGGATTGGGGGGATTTAGGTTTGTAGCTGGTGATCTGTCTGAAGCCTCTCTAGACAGAAGCAGAGTCGTTATTTGAGAACTGGTGTTGTAGTCGCTCTGCGTACAGCTGTTTAGCATCTCGCACTGCCTTGCTAAACCTGTACTTTGACTCCTTAAACCTGGCCCGGTCGCCACTCCTAAACACCTCTTCCTTTTCCAACCTCAGCTGTCTGAGTTTAGCTGTGAAACAGGGTTTGTCATTGTTATAACTCACCCTGGGCCATATTGGAATGCAGCTGTCTTCACAGAAGCTGATGTAGGACATCACAGCCTCTGTAAACTCATCCAGACTGTTGGTAGCAGTCCTGAAAACATCCCAGTCAGTGCAGTCCAAGCACGCCTGGAGGTTCACTGCTTTGATGTCCTCACCACAAGTTTACAGATTTTTAGTTGTTGACTGTATGCAGGAATCAAGTGAACCATGGCGTGGTCAGAGTGTCCCAGTGGAGCTCGAGGGACGGCGTGATAGGCACTGCTTACTGTGGTGTAACAATAACTAAGGAGTCCAGGAATGTCCGCTCTACCCACAGTATCTGATTGGCCAGCGTGCGCTGTGCCTCCTGCACGTTGGCCTGCGGTGCGATATAGACACAGAGCAGAAAGTAGCTAGCGAACTCACGGGGGGAGAAGAATGGCTTACAATGTGTTGTGGTGACAGCCCGGCTGACGGTGAGTGTCCTGGTTTTTTTCTCCTTTTTATCAGTTATTCTGCTTTTTCCTTGGTTTTCTGTTCCCTGCCTGCCTCCCTGTGTTTTCTCCCCTGTGTGCTATCTCTCCCTCTGCTCCTGAGCCCAGCCAACGACCCGCACCTGCACCTCATCAGCCACCTCGTCAGCCTGCCACACCTGCCAGTAGTCAACCTCATCCCTGCCTGTATTTCAACCCCGGTTCTCCACACCATTCTTGCTTGATCGTCGTTGCTCCGTACCCGGTGCCCCCTCTGTGTTCAGGCTCTCATGTTTCTTGTTTTCTCACATTTTCCCTGTGCTTAGTCTCCGTTATCTCTAACCCTGTCTCTCCGTCTGTTTCCCTCCCAGGTTCACTCACCCTCGTCCTCCGGACCTCTCCTCTTCGGGCTTCCCACACGGCATCCTCCCAGTTCTCCCTTGCATCCTCCCTCCCTCGGCCCCAGTGTTCCCCAGCTCCCTGGTTCCCGTCCTGTCGGTTTCCCTGTGCCAGTGTTTCCCCGGTATCCTCCACTCCAGTCCCTCAACCCCCTTTTTCCCTAAATAAACCTCCTTTGCTCAGAGTGCTGCGTTTGGGTCCTCTCTGTCCCCACACCACACAACCCTCGTAACACAATGTATCAATAAATATTCCAGGTCATGAGAACAGTGTTGCTGAATCACTGTCACATCGTTACACCAGCCACTGTTAATGTAAAAACAAACTCCTGGAAGCCAGACAGCTGCAGCGCGGAGTCCGGTATTGATCCAGACAGCCACGTCCCGGTGAAGCACAGAACAGAAGATGAATAAAAGTCTCTTGTTTTTCCCCACCAGTAGCCGAAGTTTGTCCATTTTATTCCACAGTGAGTGCACGTTGGAGAGAAATATTCCCGGTAGCGGCGTGCGGTACTCAAATGTGTTTCCCCCACACAGACTACACTCAGGAAGTTCACCCAAATCAGGAAAATCTCTCAAATTAAAATTCATTTTAAGAAGAGATCACAGATTCTGCTGACCTGATTTCCTCAGGCTGCCTGAGGAAATCGTTCTAAAGCTTTGGGGCTCAGATTGCAAATGATGTCACCTCTGGTTTTAAGCCACGCCTTGGGAACATATAAAAGACCTCTCACTAAGGCTAGGTACTGGCTCGTATGCCCCTGAAAGGTCAGATATATAGTAGGGGTGACCCCGAATAGTCAAAGAATTGATGATTCGATATTAGGAGCCTGATTCGACTCGCAGAGCCGTTATGAAACCTTAACAAATCACACCATTTTGCCAATATGGGGGTGGTCATTGCCTGATTTTACATAGATCTACTGGTTTTCTCCCACTAAATTAATATACAGCCTATTATGATATAAATATCAACAATAATGCTGTAAATTAACATCTGAAAAGAAAGAAGCTTTTGATGAAGGTTTTTAGAGTGCGTGAATAAATCCAAAATTGTAATCCTAACCCTTAAGGAAGGGGGCGTCAGTGCACATGTGGGGCGTAGCGTGTGTATAAGATAAGATATACTTTATTGTCCCCAAAGGGGACTCTTCCCCGCTGTAAGTGTAGCACAGCCCTAATAGCCTATGTATTGCACAAATGACACATTTCAAATAACCTATGCAATACACAATGACATATTGAACAATCCAACAGCCCATGTATCGCACCACTAACATACTGCATAACCCCAATAGCCTACTTATTGCACAATGACATCGTGCACAACCCCAAGCCTACATGTTAGTGTTGATAAGCTTAATGGACATAGGTACAAATGAGTGTTTCTAAATGCAGGCTAAACCGATTTAAACCCTGAATCTTCTACCAGAGGGTAAAAGCTGAAATTCTGGGTGAAGTATGTGGGTTGGATCGGAAACTATTTTTTGTGCCTGTCTGATAACCAACTGCTCATAGATTGTCTGGAGGGGCAGATGGTTTTTGACCCCCATAATCTTCATAGCTGTCTGTACCTGACGGACGATCTGAGATTTGGTCTGTACTTTCAGGTGACCATACCAGGCTGTGATACCGTATCTTATAATACTCTCTAGTATTGTGTGATAAAACAACAACATAAATTTCTGCTCGACTCCATACACTCTAAGTCTTTGTAAAAAATGGATCCTCTGTTGAAGTCTGGAGCAAAGAGTATTCACGTGGTCCTTCCAGATAAGTGCATTGTCGATATGTACACCAAGGTACTTGTAAGAGCTAACCAGGGTAATGGGTAAGTTGTTGATCACTACAGGCATGGTGTCACCTATGGCATTTGTGTTAAGCACCATCTCCTCAGTCTTGGTCACATTTAGCACAAGATAGTTGTCGTCACACCACTGGACAAATTCCTAAATTTTCGTATGATACGCTGCTGGGCTTCTATCTTTGTACATAAGGCAGAGGATTGCTGTATCGCCTGAGAATTTGATAATATAATTGTCAGTATGGAGTGCAGTTTATACAGTATACAGTGTAAAGAGGACTGGAGAGCTGACACAGCCCTGAGGGGCACCAGTGCTGATTGGCCTGGGCTCTGTGAGAGCATTATTCATTCTGACCTGTTGAGTACGGTTTGTTAAAAAAGCAAAATACCAGTTGAGAATAAAAGAGTTTGCATTCATGTGTTTCAGTTTCTGGCATGTGAGACTGCAGAGCGTTAAAAGCTTAACTAAAATCAACAAACAAAATGTGTGCATAGGCCTTTGGGTCCTCAAGGTTACTGATCAGATGTGAGATGCTGTTAATAGCGTCATCTATGCCATGCCCCTGCCTATAGACAAACTGAAAAGGGTCTAAAGACACACCAACCTCATCCATCCATCCATCCATCCATCCATCTTCATCCGCTTATCCGGGGTCGGGTCGTGGGGGCAGCAGCTCCAGCAGGGGACCCCAAACTTCTCTTTCCTGAGCCACATTAACCAGCTCTGACTAGGGGATCCTGAGGGGTCCCCAGGTGTCCCCAGGCCAGTGTGGAGATATAATCTCACCACGACTACGCCTTGATATCCTGTCCATGAATATCACAAACAGGATTGGTGACAAAGCGCTGCCCTGGCAAAAGCCAACCCCCACCTGGAAATAGTCCGACTTACTGCCGAGTACTCGGACACAGCTCTCGCTTTGGATGTACAGGGATTGGATAGCCCTGAGAAAGGCCCCCCTCACTCCATACTCCCGCAGCACCTCCCACAGTATCTCCTGGGGCACCCGGCCATACGCTTTCTCCAGATATACAAAGCACATGTAGACTGGATGGGCATACTCCCAACCCACTCCAGTATCCTTGTGAAAGTAAAGAGTTAGTCTGTGCTTTGCTACTATGGAGTTGTTTGACTACCTCAGTGACTTCGAGCAGGGAAATTGACGAGAAACCCCCATCAGCCTCCAGCTCTGCCTCTACTAGAGAGGGTGTGACAGTCGGATTTAGGTGTTCCTCAAAGTGTTCCTTCCACCACCCAATTACCTTCCCAGTTGAGGTCAACAGGGTCCCATCCTTACTGTACACAGCTTGGACAGTTCCCCGCTTCCCCTTCCTGAGGTGGCGGACAGTTCTCCAGAAGCAATCCCGGGAGGCATCCTTCAGTCGGACGGCTTCCCTGACCACCTGTGTCCACCACAGTGTTCGAGGGTTACCCCCCCTTGAGGCACCTAAGACCTTGAGACCACAGCTTCCCGATGCAGCTTCAGCAATAGAAGCTTTGAACGTTGCCCACTCATGTTCAATGTCCCCAACCTCCACAGGGATGCCAGAAAAGCTCCGCCGGAGGTTTGAGTTGAAGATCTCACGGACAGGGGCCTCCTCCAGACGTTCCCAGTTCACCCACACTACCCGTTTGGGCTTACCGGGTCTGTACAGAGTCTTCCCCCACCCCCTGACCCAACTCACCACCAGATGGTGATCAGTTGACAGCTCCGCCCCTTTCTTCACCCGGGTGTCCGAAACATGCAACCTCAAATCAGATGAAACAACTACAAAATCGATCATCGATCTTCAGCCTAGGGTGCTCTGGTACCACGTACACTTATGAGCATCCTTATGTTCGAACATGGTGATTGTTATAGACAATCCATGACTAGCACAGAAGTCTAACAACAAACACCCACTTGGGTTCAGATCAGGGGGGCCATTCCTCCCGATCACGCCTTTCCAGGTATCTCCATCATTGCCCACATGCATGTTGAAGTCTTCCAGCAGAACTATGGAGTCCCCTACTGGAGCCCCATACAGAAATCCATTCAGGGTCTCCATGAAGGCCGAATACTCTGAACTACTGTTTGGTGCATATGCACAAACAACAGTCAGAGTCCCCCCCCCGAAGTTCACCGGAATGAACTCCAACATAGCGGCGCTCAGCCGGGGGCTTGTGAGTATTCAAATTCAAGCTGGCGATTAAGAGTATAGTAAAACATTTCTTTGTCATTATTTCTAAAGGAATTTTGTAGGAAAGTATTATGAACAAGCATTAATTACATCAGATGAAGGGGTGTCTTGCTGAAAATAAAAACACGGCACAAGTAACTTCTTTTCAGCACTAATATCAACAACAGATAGCAACAACAGTTAACATAACTACTCAAATAGAGGCAAACGTAATCAGGTAACTAAAGATTTAATTAACTCAATTAAATGCTTTGAGTCTTTGAAAGTTCAGTGTCTGGACCATGTCACACTTGGGTGAGACAGGGGTTTTCCTTTTTGATGTGGTAATAAACAAAGAATAAGGTCAGTTGCCACGGAAACGTGTGTGGGGGGGCCAGTTTTGATAGGCTGTTTAGGGAAATGCCAATGGCTGGTTCGTGTCCCCTTTGTCAGTTTAACAGTCAGGCCCCGCGTTATCAGCTTCGGAATCAAAAAGGTGCCAGTTTTATGGTCGAGATAGCACTTAGAGAAAGCAACTTTGACCCCTCCCCTTCTCTGGGGAGGAGAAAGGAATTTAGGGTAGCTCCAAATTTATTCCATATAAAATGCACAAATCCACACCGTTGTTCACTACAGTGCTCTGTCCTGGTTCTTAAATGCCAGTTTCTTGCGGTTGATACGGTCTTAGTTAACCTCCTTAGTTATGTACATTTTTTTGTTAGGATAAATAGTTATTTCTTTCTGAGGTTTAACATTGTCCACACAGAATTTATGTAATCTGTAACAGTCTCTTTATCTTTATCTACGTCAAGTTCATGAAAGATACTCCATTCTGTCAAGAAAAAGCAACCTTTAAGGGACTCAATGCTGTCGCTAGTCCAGACCTTTATAGCCTTGGTGCATGGTTTACTGCTCTTGAGAACAGTTTTGTAAGTGGGGATGAGATGGACTATGTTATGGTCCGAGTTTGACACCGTTTAGCCCTGCTCAAGTAGGTATTCTTCACGTTACAATAGTCCTTATGAAGGTTAGGTATGTTGCCTGCGCCATTTATGATTAATAAAAACTCCTTCTGAGAAGCTGACAGATTCTGCCTCTCCTTCCTCTTCTCTGAATTCGTCTCCTCGGGGCAGAGGGTCGTATGTCCTCAGTGAAGTCGGGTGGTGGAGGGTCTCCCGCAGGTTGTTTCCTCTTCCAAATGTTTGGCATGGCCGAAGGAGTTCCACAATAAAAAGTGCCAATAAAAGTTTTGCCAAGGTTGTCATTGTGTCGACTTCTGTACACATTCCATCTATCCATCGTCAACTGCTTATCCTGCATACAGGGTTGCGGGGATGTACACAATTCCTCAGTTTTAAAAGTTTAAAATCCAACAACATTACTCTTAAAACACAAATTAAAACAACACCAAACTGCAGCGCGAGACAAAAGTGGGTCGCAGCAGTACCGCACCACCAGATGTGTGTCTGGTAGAAGAGGGAGAGAGACAGAGGAGAAACAGCAGCGCTGGTGATGTGCACAGTTGTGTGTGAACTTAGCGGGACGTTTGAATCACTTATCACTATTGATGAGAATGATAGGCAATTATTGACAATTCTGATTCGACTATGTAAATCCTTAGTCGGGGACAGCCCTAATATATTGCATGGAGAGAGGCCATGAAAAGCCTTTAAAAGTCAACAGTAAGATTTTAAAATCAACTTAAAACATACTGGGAGCCAGTGCAAGGACACTATAACAGGTGTCGTCACTTCCCTTAGATCTTGTTAAAAGCCTGGCAGCTGAGTCCTGTCCAACCTGGAGCAGATTAATAGACTTGTAGTGGAGCCATGAAAACAGACTGTTGCAATAGTCAGCTATTCAGGAGCTACAATGTGTGTGTCCACAGATACTGTGTGTGTCCACAGATACATGCAGTTTGGTGAATACAACTGCATTGAAACTGCTTTGTCATTATGTGTTGTATTTTTGGGAGCATGATAGTAACATAGTTGAAATGACAGGAAGCAGGACATTAAATGACACTATGAAACCCAACCAGATGGTCACACACACACATTACGTTAGACAACTTGATCATATTTGGAGATGTGTGACTTAACAGTGTTTAATGAGATGAGCTGTTCTCCTCTCACGGTTATTGGAAAACTACCTATGCTATGAGCAATGTGTTTGACCATTAAGAAATGCGATATGGCGAAATGCACGTAAAATAGGTAGTTAGACATATTCCATGTTTACAGTCAATGTTTCCCCTAACAGAGAGAAACTTAACAAGAGTGGACAAAATCTGATATAACCAGAAGCCCCCTTTGTCCTGAGCTCCTTTCTTGAAACTTAATTTTAATCTCCAGAAAAAAATATTACTTCTTGCTAAACTTTTTTATTTTTGTCAATCTCGCTTTTTTAAAATTTATTTTTTGGATAATTTTTTTGCCTAACATCAGATACTCAACGCTGAACAAACAGACCAGAAACCAGTTCATGTCAAATTTGATAACCAAGTTAATTAATGCAAAAGTTTCTCAAGGCCTTTTCTGAAACATGAGTGGTGCCCCTTTACAAGTGTTATTGATATTAAATATATATGTTCACAACACCACATTAGCTGCTGTTTATTGCCCTCATCATAGTTTCATCTTGGATTAACAGCACTCCTATATAAACATCTAAACAAGTATTTTTTAAAAACAGCAAAAGCAAGCTTTGGCATTAGTGCTGACACTGCTCTTTTATGCTTGCTTTTGTTTTGATCAAAAATTTGTGCTGCCCTTAGTCAGTGTTTTCTCCATCATTTCATGTTATATTCTCAATGGTTGGTTTGTAGACATGGGTCGTTGCAACAGTCAGATTGTTACATTTATGTTTTTGGTCTCCTGAGTGTTAACTACTGTACAAGGGCGTAGTTTGTAGCATTGTGTCCATGGTAGACTGAATAACAAAGAACCTTACAGTAAAATACAATACAGTATAAACACCATCAACTACAGCCCGTAAAATGAACAGGGAGCTGAATCAAATTCTTTCTGACATGGCCTGAACAACAACTGAACATTTTAAGCCTTCAAAGATAAGGTTGGATGTGGATTTAGATTCATCTTTGACATATTTGGTTGACAGGACAAAGGACAGCCTCTTCCACACACCTTGAGCACACAGTTGCTGTTGACCAGGAGGTTGCCAGGCTTGATGTCTCGATGTAGAATGCCAGCAGAATGAAGGTATTTAAGCCCTGGTGGTGGTGATGGTTGAGGAAGAAGAGACAACAGAACAGAATATTGTATCAGATCTAAGATATTACAATCCTCAATTTTTTTTTCATACAGCACCAAATCATAACAGAAGTTATCACCTTGCACTTATATCACACCATACTCTGTGATATTATTTACAGAGACCCAACAATTCCCACCATGAGCAAACAGTTGGCAACAGAGGAAAGGAAAAACTTCCTTTAAAGAGGCAGAAACCTCAAGCAGAACCATGACTCAGGGTGGGCGGCCATCTGCCTCGGCTGGGGGGTGCTTACCAGCACTCATGCATCCAACAGGTTGAGTGAGGGTGTTAACAATTATAGACTCTTGCTCAGAAATCAAGGAATTGGTGTCTACTCGTTTTTTAAAAACAAATTTATCTGTTATGCTGGCAGCCCGGCTGATGGTGAGTGTTCTGTTTATTTCTCCTTTCTTGTGATTCCCTTGTGTTTTGGCCTGCCTGCCTGTGTCTCCTCTGCTCCCCTTACTTGTGTTCTCCCTCTCTCTCTCTGCTCCTGAGCCCAGCTGACGATCCACACCTGCACCTGATGAGCAGCCTCCTCTGCCTGCCACACTTGCCAGCAATCAACTCCAGTATTTCAACCCCGGTTCTCCACACAATCGCTGCTTGATCGTTGTTGCTCCTGACCTGGTGCCACTGCTTGCCTCAAGCCTTTTTTCCCACGTTCCACGTTTTCTGTTTTCCCTGTTACTAACCCTGTCTGTCTGTCTGCCTTTCTCACCTCCGTCCTTTTGGAATAGGATTATATTAAAGGTCCCATTTCATTTTGTAGAAAGCAAGATTTACATGTATTTTTGGATTATGAAGCAGGGCTAGGTGCTAGTTTCTGCCCCTCGGGAGGCTTCAGGAAGTTGACCAATCAGAAGAAATTGGGCTTGGCGATGGCTTACAGAGACAGGAGCCAAAACAGAGTATTCACCAAGGATAAAAAGAGGTGCTGAAGCCAAGGTATGAGACATAGACTGTGTTTTTTAACGTTACAGTTTTTCTCAATCAATTTGGCACATTTACTGAAACAGTTTGTCAAAACTCTAAGTACAATCCTCACACCATGTGGCACATTCAGCACACCACTCTACGTGACCTGGAAAAGGTCAAATGTAAATAAATCCATCAATGAATAAATCATTGTAATCAAAACAAAAGGTTCCTTTAACATTGCTTAGACCAAGACAGTCAAAATGCAAAGACATCTTGTGAAATGACAGTGTACTAGTTACCCACTAATGTGGGTAATATGTAATACTGTCCAATTGCTAATATTGTATATTTAGGCAGCTGAACAGCACTGACATCAGCCATGGCACACACTGTATTTTCAGCGAAACATTTAATTGACAACACTGTGGACCGGCCCAGATTAGGCTGCACTCTCCGACCAGCCTGTCATACTTGTCCCTTCCTCTTGCACTGGCAGGCTCTTGCCCCCCCCCCTTGCTAAAGCAATTATAAGTGACTATAGTCATGTAAACAACTGCCCTAATGTTCATATAAATAGTCATACAGTTTGACAAAGTTTAATAGTCGATTGTGCCAAAGGGATTGAGAAAAACTGTAAAGCAAATAAGCGTTTTCTAGTAGACACCCAAAAGAAGCAGTATAAACCTGAAAATAAGCATAATCTAAGACGAGAAAACCGTTTCAGTATGGGATCATGATGAATGATCATTTGCCAATAAAAATTCTGTTACATATGCTGCATTCCAGGCAAATGTCCGACCTCCAACTAGAAAAACTATCCTGGAACGCCACTTGAAGTCAGATTTGACTTCATGAGTAGCAGCTGAATGACGTCACACAACAATAGCAGCACCCATGGAAGCACAAATATAACATAAACTAAAAGGCAACATAAAGTATATTTCCATGTATTTTAAAATTAAACAATTCATGTAATCATACAGGTTATGTAGAAATGTTTTGCCAATGTTATTAGGTAGCTGATTCCAGTAAAGAATCTCTGAAAGTCATCTTTCTCTTAAGAGTTATTCAGTAAAATGTTAAAAATGCCAAAAAATTAGGAAGTATAATCTACATTTACTGGCACCCCCATGCACCTGGATCGCTTTGAGGTGGGAAGTCGGATATTTCAACTCGGACATTTCCCAGTTCCGAGCAGTCTGGATGGTATTACACCATAAATTCTCATATAAAAGCTGGTATAGAAATAACGTTTGAGTCTCAAATGACAAGAATATGATCTGAAAGAGAAAATGAAGAGAACCTACCTCGTAGAATCTGATAAAGAAAAACTTTGGCGTGGTCTGGGCTCAGAGGCTGTGGTGATACGATGATCTTATGGAGGTCACTTTGCATCAGTTCAGTCACCACATAGCTGATCGATGAGAAATTAAGGCAAACAACTAGAACACATCCAAGAGCACAAACAGCAAATCTCACTCAGAACAATAGGAAAATAGTGCTAATATTCTAAAGCTGTTCTTCATTTCTTAAAATAAGGGTTAGGCATCAGTATCAGAAGGGCTCCTGTTTCCACTGCGTTGCCACAATACTAATGGCCCTCCACGTATTATGTCATCCCTTATGTCATTATGTGTTGTATGTTTGGGAGCATGATAAAAATATACTAGAAATGATAATTACCATGTTCTCACAACCAGAATGTCACTTGACTGACTGAAAAGCAAAACAGTCTGGGAGAGCGCACCTGCAGTCAGACGACGTAGAAATACAGATGCTGTTCATATAATTAGAATATCATCAAAAAGTTGATTTATTTCAGTAATTCCATTCAAAAAGTGAAACTTGGATATTATATTCATTCATTACATACAGACGGATATATTTCAAATGTTTATTTCATTTAATTGTGATGATTAAAACTGACAATTAATGAAAATCCCAAATTCAGTATCAAAGGCTTGTGTGGAACACTGCAGGTGTAAGTAAGAACATTGCATCTCTACACACTACAGCTACTACATCTTTCAACGCGACCTTCAGAGAACCTTTTTAAATAGGATCAGTCAAGGCAAACAGATGGCAGTGGACTACGATCCAAGGTTTCAAGACTAAGCTCCAACCACCAATAAGCTCACATTCTCAAACCAGATGCACTTTCAGCTGTTGACCTATTAGTCAGGGAACACCCCTGTGCTGAAGTGCATACATAATTAGAATATCATTAAAAAGTTGATTTATTTCAGTAATTCCATTCAAAAAGTGAAACTTGGATATTATATCCATCTGTGTGTAATGAATGAATATATTTCAAATTAAATTTCATTTAATTGTGATTATTAAAACTGACAACTAATAAAAATCCCAAATTCAGTATCTCCGAAAATTAGAATATTACTTAAGACCAATACAAAAAAAGGATTTTTAGAAATGTTGGCCAACTGAAAAGTATGAACATGAAAAGTATGAGCATGTACAGCACTCAATACTTAGTTGGGGCTCTTTTTGCCTGAATGACTGCAGCAATGCGGCGTGGCATGGAGTCGATCAGTCTGTGGCAATGCTCAGGTGTTATGAGAGCCCAGGTTGCTCTGACAGTGGCCTTCAGCTCTTCTGCATTGTTGGGTCTGGCGTATCACATCTTCCTCTTCACAATACCCCATAGATTTTCTATAGGGTTAAGGTCAGGCGAGTTTGCTGGCCCATTAAGAACAGGGATACCATGGTCCTTAAACCCAGATACTGGTAGCTTTGGCACTGTGTGCAGGTGCCAAGTCCTGCTGGAAAATGAAATCTGCATCTCCATAAAGTTGGTCAGTCAAGCAATGTGGATTCTGTGCCTCTCCTCTCTTCCTCCAGACTCTGGGACCTTGATTTCCAAAGGAAATGCAAAATTTGCTTTCATCAGAGAACATAACTTTGGACCACTCAGCAGCAGTCCAGTCCTTTTTGTCTTTAGCCCAGGTGAGACGCTTCTGACACTGTGTCTTGTTCAAGAGTGGCTTGACACACGGAATACGACATCTGAAACCCATATCTTGCATAAGTCTGTGCATGGTGGTTCTTGAAGCACTGACTCCAGCTGCAGTCCACTCTTTGTGAATCTCCCCCACATTTTTGAATGGGTTTTGTTTCACAATCCTCTCCAGGGTGCGGTTATCCCTATTGCTTGTACACTTTTTTCTACCACATCTTTTCCTTCCCTTCGCCTCTCTATTAATGAGCTTGGACACAGAGCTCTGTGAACAGCCAGCCTCTTTAGCAATGACCTTTTGTGTCTTGCCCTCCTTGTGCAAGGTGTCAATGGTTGTCTTTTGGACAGCTGTCAAGTCAGCAGTTTTCCCCACGATTGTGTAGCCTACAGAACTAGACTGAGAGACCATTTAAAGGCCTTTGCAGGTGTTTTGAGTTAATTAGCTGATTAGAGTGTGGCACCAGGTGTCTTCAATATTGAACCTTTTCACAATATTCTAATTTTCTGATACTGATTTTGGGGTTTTCATTAGTTGTCAGTTATAAACATCAATATTAAAAGGAATGAACACTTGAAATATTAGTCTGTGTGGAATGAATGTATACATTATACAAGTTTCACTTTTTGAATGGAATTACTGAAATAAATCAACTTTTTGATGATATTCTAATTATATGACCAGCACCTGTATAACCTACAGTTTTGTTTAATGTGTATGGGGCCACATTAGCTGCTGTTTATTGCCCTTCTTATATTTCCATTTTGGATAGACAGCACACCAATATAATCCACATACACATTTCTGTCTTTGGTCTCCAAAGCTCTATATCAGTGAGACCTAAGATTCCTGTGTTGGGGATTACATTTTTCTCTCACCTTTGGTTTCTGTAGAAGACAGTAGTTCCAACAATCTTCCTCCTGTAGTATTAACTCCTGTTTTTTTTTGTATTTTCCTTCTGTTTTGGATAGTAGAGCCAAAGGTATAGGGATGTTGGTTTATGGCTTGGTCCAAGCATGATATCATAAAAACTGCTTTTCAGATTACTATAAGATTTGGTATATACAGTATTATATTTGGTTATATGCATGGTCCCATCGCCACACAAGTTGGCTTTTGAGTCAAGTCTCAAGTCTTTATGATGGTTTATACTTTCCTTTTTTAAATGTATTTTGGGGCCGTTCTGCCTTAATTCATAAGTAGAGAGGTGACAGAGAATGTTGGGGGAGAGTGAGGGGGAAGAATGTGACAAATGTCCAACACCAGAAACACTCCAAAGACGACGTGATTTGTATACGGTATGTGTCTTAACCACTAGGCTGACAGATGTGCTCATTACCATGCTTAACAATAATATTGCCATATCTTTGGAAATGAATAAGGATTTATATGAACCGTAGAAACTATGAAGTCTTTGAAACCCAATATTCCGGGGGGTTCTCAAGATGTGAGAGACGTCGCGTTTGGGAGAGTTGGTGCGCTTATTAGCTAATTTATTCACTTAACCCTACAAAAATAGCACTTCAACCTCATAATGGTTCATTAGCTTAACATGAACATTGACAGTAACTTGTTTTTAGTAACTTGTTTTTAAACTCAGTTTTATTTATTTTGAGACCTGACAGCACACATAAGTAAAACCAAGCTCTTAATGATGTGGGTTTTGGTTTGTGTTTGTCTTTGTGTTCCTTTGGCTTTCTCTCCCTCTCGCTCGTCTCTACCTTCCTCTCTCTCAGGGCGGAGTTGTGAGCTGTGCCTTTGCCGCTTTGGTAATCATCCCAGCTGCGGGCAATCGGCTCAGGTTCATATACTCTATATGCTATTCTCCTCTTTTCCACACCGAATTATTAAGTCATGTTTGTGAAACTACTTTGTATACCAGCCTCCCATAAACCTGTTCCCCTTCGAGGGAACTCGACCTGCGTCGGTGACGACACTATGGGAACGCCCCTGGGCGTGGCAGGGCTGAACTATGAATGTAAATACAAATGTAAATGCTCCGTACTTGTATAGCGCCTTTCTAGTCTTTTCGACCACTCAAAGCGCTTTTACACTATATCTGCATTCACCAGTCACACACATTCATACACTGAGCTTGAGGGATTGAACCGCCAACCTTCCGATTAACGGCCAACCCGCTCTACCTCCAATGAAACTACTCCAATCCTATTGGTGTTACTAGAGCGGTAGTGTGTGACGGCGTAACCAGAAGGGGTATATAAGCACGCCAGCACATAGGACACATTAGCTTCTTTCTATTCAGCAGGCACTCTGGCAATGTTTGGAAGCTTCATTTTCCTACCTGACATCGAGACGAAGCGAGGCCCTGCCCCTGAGGGTGCTGAGGTCTCGAGCGTCTCTCTTCCTAGAGGATGGTCGGATGCGCTCCCCTCGTGGCACAGGCCCCACGGTCGCTGAGGCGTCACGGTGGCTCCGATCCTGGGGATCACAACGCGAGATCGCCGAGGGTAACGGAACGGCTGAGGCCTTTTTCCGGTTTTTCGGTTTCTCCCACTCGAGGGGCGAGTCCGGAAAGGCTGACACGATCTGGCCCTCACCAGGATACGAGGAGTTGTTGGAAGTGGTGACGCGGGCCGTGGCCAAGCTGCACATTGATTGGCCACAGGCGGTGCAGCAGCCATCGGCAGGCAGCAAACTAGATGAGTGGTTTCTGCAACACCGAGCGCCACCCCCGCGTCGGCCCCTACCATTTTTTCCGGATCTGCACAACGAGTTGTGTAGATCATTGAATAAACCTTTCTCTGCACGGCTGTCTACGTCCCCCCAGCTGGACTACGGCAACGTGACGGGAATCAGACAGCACGGCTACGGAGCGATGCCACGAGTGGAGGAGGCACTGGCTAGCTACCTCTCTCCCAACCTCGCCTCATCCCTCCGGACGCCGGCGCTCCCCACCAAGCCGTGTCGGATGACGTCTGATTTGGTGGGCAAGGCCTACATGGCAGCAGGTCGAGCTGGTGCCAGCCTACATACGATGGCTGTCTTGCAGGCATACCAGGCCGATCTCCTTTGGGACTGTGACGTAGGGGGAGGTCCCTCTGAGGAGGACCTGACGGAGCTCCGTAGAGCGACGGACTTGGCTCTCCGTGTGACCAAGGAAACGGCCCGTTCCATCGGCCGAACCATGGCGGCTTTGGTGGCTACAGAGCGCCATCTGTGGCTCAACCTATCAGGCATCCAGGGGAAGGAGAGGGCTTTTCTCCTGGATGCGCCCCTCTCGCCTTCCGGCCTGTTTGGCGAAGCATTGGATGCTGTCGTCAACAGGTTCCAGCACGCCAAAACTCAGGGAGAGGCATTTGAGTGATATCTCCCCTGCCGGTCAGACTCCAGGACCGCGACGGCTCAGGAAAGGCGGACGCAGCCTTCATCCAGCACCTACCGCCACAGCCAGAAGCAGACAGCCCCCCGGGAAGATGGATCT